TACTACTACTACTACTGCTACTACTACTACTACTACTACTACTACTACTACTGCTACTGCTACTGCTACTACAACTGCTACTGCTACTGCTACTGCTACTGCTACTACTACTACTACTACTACTACTACTACGATGCTACATGTACTACTACTTCCTAGCATTGCGACTGCCGCTACCACTACCTCTACGACTATCATCACAACCGCGACGACCACGACTTTGCTGTTGCTATCCGCTACTACTACTACGACGACTACTACTACACGACCTCTCCTCCCCCTCCTCCTCCTCCTCTAACTACTGCTGCTGCCGCCCCACAAGCACCAACAGTCATGGCCAGTTCTTGCTACTGTCATTTCCTTGTCCTCTCGTGCAGGACCTGGGCCGCCTGGGCCGTGATGCCAAAGACCAGCTCATGGGAGAAAGAGACCTGCAGTCCAGGTTTAAGTTTTCGGGTTCAAACGATTTTAAGGTTTTGCTTAGGGGGTTCGGGGTGTGGATGAGGCTTGGGTTTAGAGTGGGTTCTCGTAGAAAGCTTTGCAGGATGGACTGCTGTCAGTTGTTCGATCCTTTACGCGTATGCAGGCTAGTACACACAGATCTCTCGCTCCCTCTCTCTGTACATATACGTATACATGGGAAAACAGGTATATTATATGTGCTTATGTACAACGTACACATGTACATTTTTGTGCCTACATGTGTACATGAGAGTGTCGTTCGATCGTGAACTAGCCCGCCCAAGCAAAGTAACAAAGTGCAACCATGAACACGCTATCCACCAAGCATGAAGCCGAGCCTATGGCTACGTTGAGAGTCGGCTTCGGCCAGTGCGCACATTGCAGATGCTCCCTATCTTAATTGTTGCGCCTGTGTTGTTGTTATTGTAGTTACGAGGAGGGTTCCCCAAAGTGTGAATGCTAAACCCGGAATCCTAAACCCCAAGCCCGAAACCAGACAACCCGAAAGCTAAACCCTAAACCCTGAGCCCTATTGGTGGTTGTAGGGCAGTGGGCCCAGGGCTGAGGTGAGAAACCTGAGGCTTCGGCAGCTAAAGATGCCTGTGTAAGTTGCAGTCGCCGTGGAGTTGGTCTGCTGTTAGGATTTAGGGTTTAAGGGTTTAGGGCTTAGGGTTTGATGGCTTAAGGGATTTGTGTTTTGGGTTTGATGGTTTAAGGGTTTAGGGTTTAAGGGTTTAGGGTTTAGGGTCCATTTCAAACTCTATCGGCTCAAACCGCGGTTGGGCAGTGGGTGCGATATCCATCGCTGCCCGATGCCCCATCCGACGCTACTGTGAAGCACGCCCCGTGTCTGCAACACAGGACGGCACAGAGATAACGAGCATTTACTATTCGGAAGCAGGGTACAAAAAATCACATCAGGAGTATGTTTGAACCTACGTGCCGATGACCTACCCAGCCCCAAAGAGCACGAACTCCAGTCACACCTGTACATTGCACGAAGTGGAAGACACCTTGAGGCAGCTTCTTTGAAGTGGGATACCTACAGAGAAAGAGGGAGCCTGGTTGATGAGTCGGGGTCTCCTAAAGGTCCTATATGGGGGTTTCTGAAAATAGGGGACCTAATATAGTATCCTAAATAGTCGCTTCCTTAATATAAGGACCCCAAAATAAGGTACCCCTAATTTTCGGAAACTCCTATATGCCAGGGATTCGGCGTGTTACGAAAACCTCCAAGCCCCAAGCCCTAAACCCCCTTAGGGACTCAATGACCCTTCAAAGTACAGGCCCTATACCGTTATACTATGAATCCCTATATGGTATATGAACCCTAAACCCTTTCAGGGCTCTTTTCGTCCTTAAGGCAGACACCAAACCCTGCACCCCCGAGGCTGATCAGAGGGAAGGCACCATGCCGTCCCTGCGTCAGATTACCCTCCATGGCGAGCCCCTGGCGAAGGGCTCAGAGGGTGCGCCTACACCCTATATCTAATAATCCCTAAACCCTACAGCCCCTAAACCTTAAAGCCAATCATAAGCCCTAAACCCCCAAACCCTAGACCCTATAAACCCTCAAACCAATCATAAGCATTGAAGACCCTAAACACTAAACCCTAGAAACCCTATAAACCCTAGAAGCCCTAAGCCCCAAGGCCCATAAACCCTAAAGTTCCGGGTTCAGCTTTTAGGGCTTATAGGGTTCTTAGGATGTAGATCTCGGGGGAGAGGTTAGGGCAGGATCAGGGCCGAACGGTTCAGGGTTTTAGGGTTAGGAGTGCAGGGGCTTACGGTTGAGGGTTTTAGGGTTTAGTAGTGTAGGAGTTTGGGGCAGCCTGGGAAGGGATTTCTGCAGACATATGCCCCTGTCTGCAGTACATTGCATGGTGTGTCGATGTGCCAATCCCCATCTGTCAATCAAGGCTCTTTGATTTTTGTTATCAGGCGTTGTTCTTTGCAGCATTCGTACTGTGGTAGTCGTGATGGTATGACCCCTAAACCCTAAGCCCCAATCCCTACAGAGTAGCCGGGCGCTTCTTGTTGCGACCTGCAGGCTCTGTATGGATCCTTGAATCGTATACTATCCTTCTATCAGATAATACTTTCTACCATAGTTTCTTTACTGCATGCTATACTTCACTATACCATACTAATTTTTACCATACTGTTTTACCCTACTAGGCTGTTTCATACGAGGCGTGCTGGCAAGACTCCTCTCGGGCCCCATGTGACTGCAGTGCAGGGTTGGGCATATGGAATCGGGACTTTGCGGTGGAGAGTCTAGGTGGTATGACAAGTTAGGATGTGCTTCTATTTCAAGACGGGTGTCTGGACCCTGGCTGGGCACTCATAGTCGTAGTCCTAAATCCGGAAAAATTTCGACGCCTGAACCCTAGAAGCCAGTTATCTTCTCCTGTGTACACGGAAATTTCTGAGCCGCCCTAGCCCTGCAATCCCTAAGCCCCACTGCCCTGCTCACACGTCGATTTGACAGGATGCCTGAGTCCTACAAACCAAGTACATAGTTGTCATTCCGCGCACGAGGGTAGATCGAACAAAGAGGGAAAAGCAGATCAACAACTCTTGGCAGTATGCTCAATCTGCAGAAATATGAATTTCGCTCTAAACACCCTTAGCCTTCAGCCCCCCAACCCCAACCCGAAATCCTATCCGTGCTCACACCATGCTTTCAGGCGGCTCTGTCGAGCAAGTTCGTTCCGGGGTTCTTTAGCCAGCCTCGGTCCCAGCATTGGCTGAGTGAAAGGAGTCCAACGCTGCACAGTTTCGAACCTCAAGCCATTTAGGGTTTAGGGTTTAGGGTTTAGGTTACGAACCTCGAACCATTTAGGGTTTAGGGTTTAGGGTATTATGCCACCATATACTATACTACAGTTAGTTATATTATATGGCAAACTACCATACTACATGAGATTACATTCAAGTATATCATACTGTATCGACTTTTTTCATGCAAATGGAAGGTTTCCGAAAATAGGGAACCCTAATGTA